AAATTTTGACGTTCTTGAAGACGACATTTTAATTCATTTTCCATTTTGCATTGTTCAGCATGACGTAAATCTCCACTAATTAATTCCATTGTAGCTGTTGCTAATGGACCCTCATCAATATTTGATGCTATTCATGGATTCCAATTTGGTATTGGTGGTACCCATTGAATTATAGATGATGTTGTACGACGTTCACTTGGAGGAAACCGTTCTAATATTTGAGGATTTAATAATGAACCATTTGCTTGTTGTTCATTTATCTAATAAAAATAATTCTTTTTTAATTTTATTCAAAATCAATTTATTTTCATACCACTACTAGTTGAATATTGAATAATTTAATAACTTCATCAAGTTCTTTGACAATATCATTACTAACCGTAACACGAAATGGTGTTGTCTGCATAGAGAATTATTTCATTGATATACAATAGAAAAGTTTTTAAAATAATTTCACATAGATAGATATATCATATACTCATTAACATATCATTCTTTTTCGAATACTTCTTTCTTTAATTTCAATAGATTTTGGGTATAATTTTATACTATTTTGTGAAGATTTTATGTAATAGAACTATTTCAGAAATTGAAATTATTGAAAAAGTTCATTATTTTCTAGGATAAGTCGAAATATTTTTAAAGTATCTAGACTTTTTCAGACAACTGATTTGAAAATCATTCATTCAAATTTTTGAAGTAATCCACGAAAACTTTATTAACCTTGTAAATAAAAAAATTAAATTAAAAGAAAATTTGCATAACCTTCGATAAACAAAATAAATTTATTTGCTTTTTCGAAAATCTAGTACGAGCATGAATTTCACTAATCATCGCATTGGTTGATAGTTGTTGTGAGTATGAATACCTTCAATGATGAAAAAAATTGAAAAACTTTTCTGATATAAATGCGAAAATATTTCTAACAGAAAGAACTGCAGAAAAAAAGGTAGAATTTTTGATGAGTGTAAACTAATAGTTGTTGTGAATTCTGTTTGACTTTTATGTTTAAAATCTGTCGAAAACAAAGACATTTTCGTGCATTTTTAATGACACAAAAAAAACTTCGAATACGTCTACCTAATTTTGACTAATGTGATTCTCGAAAAATATTCTTATAAAGAAAATAATGATCAATCGTATCAAATTTCAAATAAGCAATAGAATAGTAAATGTTAAATTTGGATGATTCGAGATATGTCTTTCACAATTTTTTAAATAATCTGAGATGAAAAATATTAGTACTATATGAAATTGCTTTATTTTCATCAAGACGTCAATTGTTTGTTAAGAACATTAAATTCAAAAAATTTTTATTCTAATCAAAAATCATATGTGAAAGTAGTAGGAAGTTCAATTGTATAGATTTTTTTAATAATTAATAAAATGAGAAATTCTTCTATTTGTTTTTAATAGTTTTAAAATACGATTTAGAAAAACAAAAAACAACCAGGTGAATTTACTTTTTCAATTTGTTTTTTCTTTTTTTCTCCAGTAAATGGTTCAATAATATTTAAATGATAAAGTTGTCGAACAAGTGCAAGTGCACAACTTTTTGAAGCAATTTGTTTTGTTGATCCATTTTCTCGTGCATGAATTGCTATAACAAAAATAAAATCTATTCCTTCTTTTTATTTCAATTCTTAACTTACTTTGATTACGTTCTCGTATACATATAGATAATTCAGCAAAAAATGTTCTAGAATATGTTTGATCATTGAAAAATCTCTATAATGGAAGAAAAAGTGACTAATGCCATACTTCATTTATTTATATTTTTTTTCATTTTTCACTTCTCGATCAATCAATCTGACTTATGAAATTGTTTTGTGTTCATTCATTTGAATATAAAGTAAAATCGATTGATCTCTGTTATTAGATTATTTTATGAATTATCGAAGTATGGACATTTATCACTTTTGCCATAGAAAAATTTTTTTTTCTCACATCAATATTAAACAAATCGAAGATTATCTGGTCCACTTGATGTATATTTATATTCTTGTGAAAGATTATTCTTTTGTAAATATTGATGAAGGCGACCTTTGGCATTTTCAATTGTCCAATTTCCATGTATTGCTGCATTTGTATCAGTTTCTTCTTGCTAAACAATAAAAAAGAAAAAAAAACTATAAGATATTTTGAGAAAAATGTTTGTTACAAACTTCTTCGAGCATTTTTCGATCAGAACGAATATGTTCAAGATAATTAGATGGTGATCCTGGTTGATATAGTAAAAGAGTAGGTGGTGGACCAACTTCATCTAAAACAAAAAGATTAATAATTATGAAATGATCAATGATGATAATTAAACTCATATAAAGGTTATCAACGAACAAGAGTTTTTTTTAAAGATAATATTGAATAATGATTGTCTTTATCAAAAATGCCATGTTTATTTTAGAAATAGAATATTTTCAAGTTTATCTTCTTTGGTCAAGACCTCATTCTTAGCATCTTTCATCTGTCACAATCCTGCTTTTTACAGTATATAAATTTAACTAACTTGCTGTAGTGTTACGTTGCAACATATGTGGTGGTACGACGCCAGCAGGTAAAGTTCCAAGTGACTGTGTTGTAAGAACAGATGCATTTTTTGATGGCTATAAGAAAATTTTATTAATTCAATTAATAAAAAAAAAACAAATATTTTACTAAATATGGTTCAAGTTCATTTTCGAGCATTTTCCCATCACGAACCTAAATTAATAATTTGTCCTTTTTTTTATTGAAAATAAAAAGATTATTTAAGAGACGAGATATTGACAAAAATCAATTGCTGCATTTGTCTGTGCATCTTTTTTACTAGTTGAATTTCCAATAGCCGTATAAGAATATGATCGTACTGTAAGCTTAAAATTAAAAATAAATCAACGAAAATTTTGAAAAAAAAACTAGTCACAAAACTATGACTCGTTAATTGAAATAGAAAAATTCAAATGATATTCTTTATATTTTTCAGTAATTCATTAAATAATAAAGATTAATGACAATGAAAACATATCATCACACGAAGTGAAGTCAGTAATAGGATAGACAAATGTTTTTTTTTCTTATTAAAACTTACTATGAAATATTAAATCTAAGAGTCAATTGAAAAGTGTGTTTTACATTTCAGTT